AGCAAGCATGGACAGTAGCATGGTTTGCAACCATCTGGCACATGTGAAAATGGTGGAATCAAAAGATATTTATGGGAAACTATGCCACAGGTGATTGTATTGTGGAATTAATCAAATACCACTCTTTTATGTGGCTGAAAACGAACTTATGGCCGGATTTATCAAGGGATGGGTGGCTTGCGTCCCCAGCCCAAGCATGTTGGGCGGCAAAAAGACTGGAACATTAACAGCACAAAGCACACACCAAGGGCAATTTGGAAATAGATGAGGTACTGTCCAGGGATTAATGTGTGAAATGGTGTTGTTCTAAGTTCAATGTTCTATTTTGTATGAGTGGCTTTTGAGAACGTATTGGGGAGCTGTCTGCATGTATTTCGTTTTAATTCCTGCACTTCTTTTGCAAACAGATTTGAAGTACTCTTGTATTCCGCTTTATATTATTTTATTTTGCCTAAAAAAAAAAAAAACGCAATTTGCTATTTATCTTCACCATAAGTGATTAAGCCTTGAATTAAGAGAAAGAAATGAATAAAGTCACACACTAGGAAAATATTACAAGTGTTTGGGCAGCTTCGCAGCCCAACACTGTTGAAGTTCTTGGCTGCTTTTACACTTGAAAATCTCGAGGTTGTCTCTTCGGGGAAAACACTCTAACGCTCAAGTCAGCCATACTCGATATTCTAGAGAGAGATGCTATCAAGGAGTAATTGCAGAGAGAGAAGCGTAGAGATTAATTACCTTCATCGGAGGTAGTTGGGGGGTATTTATAGCCCCAAGTGCTGACATTCACTTGTAGGCGTAAGCATCACATTGGCCCACGTGATGCTGGTCACGTGGGTATGCTGGTACTGGTGCTCCTTCCGCTTGGGCTAACAAGTGGCAACCTAGGCCCGTTATGCACAACCCTGCTTGGATGTTGGGCTTGTTGGGCCTATTCCAACATTACTCCCCCCCCCCCCCCGGCGTTCGGTTGATGAACTGGGTTGGATGTGTCCGTGGGCCAACGCCCTAGCTGGTGACTATGATGGACAGCCTTAACGCTCGCGGCTGACCTGGATGACGGCCGAGCTGAAGGGTGGTACGAAAAGAGGCGAGCTCGCGAGTCTGAAAGTGTGTAGGTGAGCTGAAAGTATCCATAACCACACTAGTGTGGGCTTGTTATAGCAACGAGCTGAAGTGGCCACGTTAACGTGAGCGCAAGAGGACGTGTGACGACCTGACCCATGACTACTACCGAAGGTACTGAAGCGACCGAATGATGCTGTCAGTCAACCGTAACGACAAGTTGAGACGATACAACCTCACACAGCACGATATGAGATTTTTTATTATTGTGCTTTATCAGCTCGCATGTGCAGTGGGGTTAAATAGAGCGACCTCAGATATCCATTGATCTGTGAAAAGGTCTGTGATCTGTCATGAGCTGTCACCCTTGTAACGACCTGATAAATGTGGTCGTCTTGACGAGCTGAAATGGACGGGAAAAGGGACCGACCGACCTGTGACGAACTGAATCCTGGGGGATTTTAGTAAACGATCTACAATTGTGAACAAATTGTCGCGTTTGTGGCGACCTGGTAAATGTGCTCACAATGGCGAGCTGATGTGACGGGATAGAGTATATATCAACCGTTACGATTTGAGTCTTGTGGATTTTCCAAATCAATCAACCAAATCTCTGAGGAGACGTTTGACAACCAAATCTCTGAGGAGATGTTTGATCTTCCCATATCTCTTTGCCTTCCCCGCCATAAATGCTGGCTCAGCATTTGAGGGGATGTGCCAACTAAAGCTGGTGCACGCTATGCAAAAGGGGTGTTACGCGCATGCCACGTGTAGGACGCTAATTGGCGCGTCGAAGGCACGTATAAGGCAATTAATGCTGGCACTGCTATTTCAGAGGATGGAAAAGGGGAACGGTTATGCCACTTTTCACTTCACTTGTTTTTGAACTTCTGAAATTCTCTGTAGCAGTGTGTTTGCAGCCTGAAGAACACATCACCAGACCATCAATTTAGCAACGTACACAACAACCTAAGGTAACAAATGGATTCGTTTAGAGAACTCAGAGAGCTACGAGGTAACCAGGGCTGAGAAGAAGAAGAAGAAGGGGTAATATCAACGGAGCCTATCGTGATGATAGTGCCATCGGAGTTGCAAGACTTGTCGGAAACAATGGTGCCTGAGAGCAGCGCCAGTTCGAGCGCTAGGGACAACGGTGACGACCACCATACTCCATCGTCTAGCAGCTCGTCTTCTGAGGATACGCCCAGTCGTGGGGAAGGGACGGGGGATGTGGTTAGTCATGTCTCAGATCGGCCTGTAATTGGAGATTAGGAGAGCAGGACGATCACGGGCAGGTTGAGCAACCTGCGAAAGGCGCCCAAGGACCTGCCCGCTGGATTTAGGTTCAAGGCTGCGCTTCATCATGAAGTAGCAGACTGTGCGCCCTCCATAAGTGGGTATAAGAAACTTGAGGAGATGGTGGGGGCGTACCACATCCCCAGAACCATATTGCTCTGGACAAGCGGGCAGAATGAAAGGGCGTGCACAGTGTCACAAACGGGTTGGATACTAGTGTACGTGGACCACTTTGACACCGGCTTACGGTTTCCCCTGCCCGGGCTAGTGTTTGACTTGCTGGCGGACTACGAGCTGGCTTTGACGCAATTGACGCCCAACAGCATGAGGTTCATCATAGGCTTTATGCTGTTGTGTGCGAGGTTCGAAGTACCGACGAAGGCAATTGTGTTCAGGTTGCTGTTCCAATGCCGGCTGTGTCCCAGCTTCTGAGGTGCAAAGTGGTATTACCTCTCCGGGAGAGAGAAGAGCCAGATGTTCAAGAACGTCAGGAACAAAGTGGCGAGGTGGAAGAGGCAATTCATATTTGTTCGCGACACGCGAACAGAGAGAATAAGCAATGTCCTCGCTGCCCTGCTATCAAAGTGGCGTGTGCCCAATGCACACGTTAACTACCCTCAGCTGCTCCCACAAGACATAGATCTCAAGAATCGGCTTCTGGAGCACGCAAGGAGCGAAAATCTGATAGACCTCGAGGCCTTGGTTAACCCGGAGCTGCTCGCCGTGTTCGGGTTTATCGACGTGGCAAACCTGTTCAGCGAAGGTACAATTCTATCATATAGTATAAGTTCTAGCCAAGCTGAGTCTTATACCTTTGTTTGTGCAGGAGAAATGAGTAGCATACTTGAGCGCCAGCGTCAGCGAGCCTAGGGCTCACAAGGTTGAGGAACGGGCAGCACCTCGCAGAGACAGACGCGGTTCGACGAGCGGCTGCTTGTAGCGCCTCAATCGCGCAGCTCGTCACATCGAGGATTGAGCTCTACGTCAAGGCCACGCGTCGACTAGCGGGCTGAGACTGCGGCTCCCAGTGCACGCAGGCGTGCACGTGAGGGGATAGAAAGTGAGGATGACGTCCCCCTCATCCGGCGCAGAACAAGTGGGGGGACTCAGCCCGAGCAGGCAGCTCCAACAACAGCTGCGCTCCCCCCGAACGCGCCATTGGCTATAGCGCGAGCAGCAGCAGAGCCTGCATCTGTGTCGGCCTCAGTGTTGGCGTCCAGGATTGCTTATCCTGACTGCTTCAGCTATGTGAAGCTGGACTGCTAGCCTGCCATGGTGCAAGGCATGCAGAGCTTTGTGCCGCCTGTTGATCGTCAGCGGGCAAGGGCTTTTGTGCAGCAGCACGGCGGGCAAGCCGCCATGGTCAAGCTTATGGACGTTAAGTATCTGCTCGCACTTGCTTATGTGTTTTACTTTTCCTTTCTAGAGACTTACAGTTGTTGCTGTTTGGCAGGCGTTTAGCTACGCTGTAGCGTTGTTTGATAGCGAGCAGGGGGCTCGCACACAAAACAGCGAGTTTAATTCCAAATGCATACAGCTGGCTGCTGCTGAGAAGGCGAGCCTTGTGGACGACGTCAATCGCCTGCAGGGCTCTGAGATAGCCAACCGCGCTGCGTCAGCTGAAAGTCAAGCAGAGGAGCTGGCGAGCAGGAACAGCGAGCTCGCTTAGGAGTTGGAAAGGATTCGCGCTGAGAAGGAAAGCGGGATCCAAGCGGCGAAGGATGAGGCCACTTGGGTTGCGGAGCGTGCAAGGAAGGTTGAAGCCGAAAGGGACAATGCTCTGAACGAACTGAACTCCCTGAGGCGACAAGTCACCCAAGCCGCCTAGAACCTTAACGAAGCAGAGGAGGCCCTACACACGCTGAAAGTATCACACGGGCGCTCTGTCAGTATGGCCCGCGCTCAAGGTGCAGAGTGGCTGGTGGGCTCGGCCGCATTTCAAGACGCTGTGGCGGTGGCGTCTGCGAACATGACCACGGAGATTTACAACGAGATCCGTGGAAAGGTGCTGCACCACCGCCTGGACTTCCCCATACGCGAGCTAGCGTTCTTCGACAGGGAGGATATTGACGAGCAGGGTAAGAGCCTTGCTCCCCTCGCTGATACGATAGTGCGGCTGAGGTGGGACCTCAATGAAGAGGGAGTAATTGTCTGGTCTCCCTCAGTCTTGGAAGAGGGGGAGGACCTAGTGGGGATACCCTCCTTCGACGGATGGGTGGAGGGGGTTCCTGTTGCTAAGCAGGAGCCATCGAGTACTCCTCCATACTCTCAGCCCGCCATAGCGCCGATAGTCGATGCACCAGCCCCTGAGCCTGCTGCCCGGTCTTCTCCAGCTCGCACTTCTCCTGCAGCCGCTGATGCGTCCATGCCCGTCGATCTGACGGACGATTAGATTTAGGGTTTTTCTTTTCGATCTTTTGTATTTTTTGTTTCTTTTCACAAACAATTGTATCGTGATCTCGTACTGAAATGTGTAATTGTTTTTGAAAAGAAATACAAAATTGAAAATTATATCAAATTGTTCTTCTTTGTTGTATTGCACATGCGGTTTACATTTCTACGAACAAATTCATTGATACACATACATTAACTGTAAAACCTTCTAAGATTGTGTACATTCCAAATATATGGCAACTGGCGTCCTTGTATGTCTGCTAACACGTAAGACCCAGGTCGCTTGATTTGAATGACCATATAGGGACCTTCCCAATTAGGAGCGAGCTTACCCATGTGTGAATAAGTGTTGGTTAATCCAGCTTTACGTAAAACCAGATCGCCCACCTTGAACTGACGAGCTCGTACTCTTTTATTGTAAAATTTTGCTACACGACCCCGATATGCCATATTCTTTATTCGAGACATCTCCCTAACTTCTTCTACAATGTCTAGGTTTTCTCGTAAGAGTTGCTCATTATTAGGATCGCCATGGCGATCTGATCTACCAGATGGCAATCCGACCTCAACAGGGATGACTGCCTCGGCTCCATACGCCAGGCTAAATGGGGTTTCGCCTGTAGCCGAGCTGGGTGTAGTACGACAAGACCAAAGCACTTTATGGAGCTCGTCAACCCAATTAGAATGTGCAGCCAGCACTCGTGTCTTGAGGCCTCGCAAGATGATTTTATTGGCAGACTCGGCTTGCCCATTTGACTGTGGAGTATACACAGATGTCAAGGCGAGCTCGATGCCATAGTCGCTGCAGAATGACCTCAGTGCAATGGCTCAGAACTGCGGACCATTGTTAGCAATGATCCGTTTAGGTATGCTGAACCTAAAAACAGATGACCGATCTGAGTTGCAGATTATACTTATATATAATGTGCTAATAGTTTAAGTCACCGAAGAGTACCTGCATAATATTGAATTAAACAAGAATTCTTCTATTTTTTTCTCTGTTGTCGTGGACAACGGTTTAGCTTCTATCCATTTGGTGAAGTAATCCACAGCGACAACGAGGTAAGTGCAACCTCCTTTGCCTTTCACGAAAGGGCTGAGCAGGTCGACTCCCCATTGAGCAAAAGGCCAGGGAGATGAGAGTGATGAGAGCATTTCTCCTGTTTCAACGAAGAATTTTATGCTCAGTTAATAGACAAACATGGAGTTTGCACGAACTTCAGAACGAGCTCAGATACCTGGCATGTGAATCTCATCAGCATTGAACTGGCAGGTCGGGCACTTTTTAACATAGCTCTGTGCGTCCTCAACCATAGTAGGCCAGTAGTAACCATGCCTCAGGAGTTTCCGAGCTAAAGTCTTACCACCTATGTGTGTGCCACATACTCCTTCATGAACTTCTCTCACAGCGTATTCAGCTTCATAAGGAGTAAGGCAGCGTAATAGGGGCATTGAGGCTGCTCGTTTGTAGAGCTGGTTATCTAACAAAGTGAAATGTGCCGCCCTAGGCTTAATTAGCGTTGCCGCAGACGGGTTTTCAGGTAGCTCGCCACTTTGTAGATAATTTATTAGTGGGGTGGTCCAGCTCGGTGAAGAGGGGTCTGTGCTAAGCAGCTTACACTCGACTGTGACATCGGTGTAGCTCAGAGCATCAAGTACCTCCATCATTGTTGACCTATGAGGGTTGATCTCTTACGAGGAGGCTAGCTTTGACAGCTCGTCAGCTCGTTGGTTATCTGCTTTGGGTATTTTGTCGATCTGAAAGGAAGCAAATCTTGACTTCAATCTGTCGACCACAAAAGTATAGCGACCAAGCTGGGGATCCCTAATTTCACAGCTGCCCTTCACCTGGCCCATAACGAGCTGAGAGTTGCTAAAAACTTGAATGCTCTGAACCTTCAGCTCGGAGGCCAACTTTAATCCATAAATGAGGGCTTCATATTCTGCGGCATTATTGGTTATTTGAAACTTAAATCTCAATGCATGTTTGGATTTAAAGCCGTCAGGGCCCAGTAACACAGCCCCAGCACCCGATCCTTCAATGTTAGCAGGACTATCTACATACAAAACCCAAATTGGGTGTTCGGGTGCCTTTTCTTTCACAGTCGCTGAGACGCATTCCACCGGGAAATCTGCCACAGCTTGGCCTTTTATAGTCGTGCGCGGCTGAAATTTGAGGTTGTATTCACTCAGCTCGACGCTCCATCCGATAAGTCGACCAGAGAGTTCTGGTTTTTGCAATATCTTCCTCAGCGGCAGATCGGTATAGACAACAATTCGATGGGATTGGAAGTAAGCTCTCACCTTGTGAGCTGTGCAGACCAAGGCAAAGGCAGCCTTCTCTGCTAATGGGTAGTTCTGTTCGGCATCTTGCAAAACCTTGCTCACATAGCAGATAGGCTTTTGATTCTTATTCTCTTCCCTGAGTAGGACCGAGCTCACCGCCTCTTCTGTAACCCCTAAGTATAGATATAAACACTTTCCTTCAACAGGCTTAGATAGCAGGGGTGCTGACGCCAGATATTGTTTGAGCTCGTCAAACGCCCGTTGACACTCATCGGTCCATTGAAAATTCTTGGGCTCTCATAGGGCTTTGAAGAACGGGAGGCATCTTTTTGCCGATCTGGCTACGAATCTATGCAATGCGGCGACACGGCCCGTTAAATGTTGCACATCTTTGACAATCCTGGGCGGCTCCATCTGCTGAACGGCCTGGACTTTCTCTGGATTTACTTCAATTCCTTTCTTGGATACCACGTACCCTAGGAATTTTCCTGACTCTACAGCAAATGTGCATTTCAGGGGATTCAGCTTCATTTGTGCTCGGCGCAAGTTTTGAAAGGTCTCACTCAGGTCGCTTATGTGATCTTCAGCTCGTACACTGGTGACTATCATGTCATCCACATATACTTCTATGTTTCTGCCGATCTGGAGCTTAAAGATGATTTGCACCAGTTTCTGGTATGTTGCACCAACATTCTTCAAGCCAAACGGCATCATTACATAGCAGTAGATTGCGTCACCAGCGTAAAAAGCTGTTTTCTTCTGGTCGTCTAACAATAGCTGGACCTGGTGATAACCGGAACTGGCATCAAGAAAGCTCATCCGTTCGTGTCCGGCTGCCCGCTCTACTAGCTTCTCGACATTTGGTAGTGGGTGAAGGTCTTTTGGGCACGCGTCATTTAGGTTTGTAAAATCAATGCACATCCTCCACTTGCCATTTGGTTTTTTGACGAGCACGGGGTTGGACACCCATTCAGAGTACTCCACTCTTTTGATGAAGCCTGCCTGTAGCAACTTTTGTATTTCTTCGTCTATGGCAGCTTGCTTCTCGGGGCCAAAAAGGTGGCGTTTTTGAATCACCGACCTTCTGGTGGGGTCCGTGCTGAGCTTGTGGATTGTCAACCCCGCTGGGATGCCAGGCATTTCATCCGTAGTCCATGCAAACACATCCTGATTAATCCTCAAAAACTCCAGAAGCTCTGCACGTTCCTCTTCTGTGAGCGTGGTGCCGATCTTAATCGTCATTTCTGGCACATCAGGGTCTAGAGGGATTGTTTCTACTGGCTTCACTGGCTTTGCCTTCTGCTCGACACCTTCAGGTCGGTGTTCAATGTCTGATATGCTCATTGTCTGCTGACCGAGCTGGGTTGGTCTGTGGTTTTCAGAGCCTACAGAGGCAGCAACGAGCTCAACCTTCTTGAAAGTATCCTGGTGGTAGGTTCTGGCCATCTTCTGATTCCTTTTAAGTACTCCTACCCCTTGAGGAGTTGGGAATTTCATGCAGAGATGGGGTTATGAGATGACAGCCTTCAGCTCGCAAAGAGTAGCCCTGCTCAATATAGCGTTAAAAGCCGACTCCATCTTTACTACCAGAAAGTTAACTGAAGCCATCCGAAAGCGCGACTCTGAACCCACATATATGGGAAGAGTAATGACTCCTTCAACCGGGACGGGCTGGTTATCAAACCCATATATGGGCCTTTCATACTTCTGCAGCGAGCTCGGGTTCAATTTCATCTTTTGAAAACAGCTCCAATATAAGATATCTGGCGAGCTACCAGTATTAATAAACACCTTGTTGACATTATGATTGCCTATATGAACCGTGGCCACGAAGGGATCTACATGGGGCATCATAATGTCAGGCTCTCCTTCTGCTCGCTTGTAATCTGCCGGGCTGAATGTGATAGGCGTATTCTCCCATTCTGCTTCTTCAAACGGGCGCTTCAGGGGCCTGTTCTTATTAACAGTCATTACCTGGCAGGCATACGCCTTACGACCTCGGGCGCTTTGGCCTCCAGAGTGTATACCACCTGAAATCATATTGATTGTGCCCGAAGGTGGGGGAATCCCAGCATAACCCACCCCTTTCCGGTCTTTTTGGTTCTGGGTGGTGGTTCTCTGTCCTTGGCCTCGCCTATTAAATTGACGTCCCCTGTATGCCCTGCCTTCCTCGGAAGGATACTGGTTATCCTGATGTGCATCCTGTGCGCCGCCGAGTTGGTACCTTTGCCCCTGAGGTCGGTCATACCCCTGTACAAAATGAGCTTGAGTGGGTTGCTGGGTATGGAGCTTCTGAACATATCCTTCCAGTTTCCCATTGCGAGCCAAGAACTCCAGCTCGTCCTTTAGGTGTTGGCAATCCTCTGTGTTATGACCGTATACACGATGGTAGTCACAATGTTTGCTTTTGTCTGCTCTCGAGGAATCATGCAATGGGGGTGGGGGTCTTCTAATCCAATGCTGGATTTGCGCTAGAATTTGAGACCTAGGCAAGGTCAGAGGGATGTAGTTAGCATATTTCGGGAATTCAGCTGGCTTCCCCCATTGCTCATTAACTTTCTGCTTTTTCTTTTCTTCTCTCCTCGGTGGTTGATCATGACTTTTGTTCTACTTATCATCAGCTCGCTGCTTGGACGACTGGAAATCTTCGGATAGTATGAAGCTAGCCGACCTGTCACTGACTTTGTTCCACGTCTTTGGTGGGTTTTTTACCAGGTCGTCCAGGAACCGGCCACGCTTCAAATCATGCAGCAAGGCGGACAAGCAGATAGTGTCTAGGACGTTATCAATGTCCAAAGTGGCTTTGTTGAATCGCTGCATGTAGTCCCTCAGAGATTCCCCTTCCTTCTGGTTAACTTGCATCAGCTCGGTTGCTGTGCGTTTGATCTCCCTCTGGCTCGCGAATTTGTTGGAGAATAGCTTGGCGAGCTGGGAGTATGAGTCTATAGAATGTCTGGGGAGCTTGGGATACTATCTTCTGGCTGTTGATTTCAGTGTTGTTGGGAACATTTTGCACATCATGGCATTATTGGCATTTTGGATTCTCATGATGTCTTGATAGGTGTGCAGATGTTCATCTGGGTCGCCCGAGCCATCATATGTCTCCAGGTGGGGAATTTTGAATCCTTCTTGATACGGTTCTGCTGTGATGGATAGGTTTAGTGTGGCACTATCCAAATCCAAGGTCTGTTGGTGTGACTTGGGACTTTTTAGCTCGTCAATAGATTTTTGTACGTCTCGCAGCTATCTTTCAAGGTCTGCGTTCTTTATCATCAGTTCTTCACTATGTTTGGACGAGCTGGGCTCGATATTCAGCTTCCCACTTCCCCTTGGCCTGGTCGGCACCACTATGTTGCTTAGAGCGAGGGAGTTTCGAGTTGCAACAACTGTAGCTGGTTGTCCATCCCTGTTCAACAAAGGAATCAGGGGGTCGTCCGGAATCAGGCGGGCAAGGGTTTTACCCATTGCCATCTCGAGAACTCTGGTTCTCTCTTCGAGCTCGGTCGTTCGAGCGGGCTCTGCTGACCTTTCAGGTCGTTCCTGTTGTAGATTGCCAGGCCTGGGTTGTCTCTGTCTTGTTCCTGTAGGAACTTGGAAATGTTCGGGCTGAGTTGCATACCCACTTGGTGTTCTTTCATCATCATCTATTCCACTTAATTGATCCTATTCTACTCCCCCTACGAAAAGGTTCCTCGGCATTGGTCTAAAATCATTCAAACCGGGCTCAGACAGTTGAGTGTCCTCCTGTTCGTCTACTTCATTTCTTGGGGGGCGACCTCCTGTAAAAGTCCGAACCATTTTGTCTTTCAACAGGTCAAGCTACACAACTTTTTGTTCAGGTTCCCACAGACGGCACCAAATGTTTGGGCAGCTTCGCAGCCCAACACTGTTGAAGTCCTTAGCTGCTTCTACACCTGAAAATCCTGAGGTTGTCTCCTCGGGGAAAACACTCCAACGCTCAAGTCAGCCATACTCGATATTTTAGAGAGAGATGCTCTCAAGGAGTAATTGCAAAGAGAGAAGCGTAGAGATTAATTACCTTCATCGGAAGTAGTTGGGGGGTATTTATAGCCCTAAGTGCTGACATTCACCTGTACGTGTGAGCATCACATTGGCCCACGTGGTGCTGGTCACGTGGGTATGTTGATACTGGTGCTCCTTCCGCTTGAGCTAACAGGCGGCAACCTAGACTCGTTATGCACAACCCTGCTTGGATGTTGGGCTTGTTGGGCCTATTCCAACAACAAGGAACATTGTTCCATCAAAGCAAATTACACACAATACATGAGCCGAAACAACCGACCATCAATTAATGCCCATAAGAGCCAGAGATGGTATCTTCGTTATTTAGGAAACTCTGTAGTATAGATAGAAACCAAGAGCTCGATCAAACAAGATCCCATACATATTTTAGATGACATCTTAATTATTAAGAATTGAAATTACTTGCTTTTCAGTCCAAATTGTAGTGTCTAATTAATTCATTAGCATTGACAGAGAAATCATATCGTGGCTTTTGTGTACCTGCTAGAGTCTGCAAATTTTGAGGAAATGTCGTATCTGTGGGTCCGTTCCAGAATATGCGAGCTATTTCCTGATTAATGTGCTGAGTGTTATGCATACCATCCCAAAACACGTAAGCAGTAGGGTCATTGCAACCCTTCTCATCTGAATGGCCACAACCGTCTGCATAATAGGA